CAAATCTTGATAAAATACTGAACTTTTTGAAAGTTATAAATATTTACACAGAGATATAATTATTTATTTATTATATACTTATATTTATTCCATTGTTTTGTTCATTTATGGTTTTGTGTTTTATTAGTCTCTGATGAGAGATATATTTAGTTTTGTGTAATATTACCTGAGAGCAAACCGCTGAACCTAAAAGGTGAAATTTGGTAAGCAGTTAGGGTACGTCATGAAAACGCGCACTAAGAAGGGATTCTTCGAAATTCCCTTGTGGGGGGAGAGGGAGAGCATTAAAACTTAACCGGAAGAAGGGCATCTACTGTACTATTTTAGATGCGATTTTTTGTTTTAAACTACATTTAGTCTTCATTGAGTATTTAGGTGTATTAAATTGAAATAGATAACATTTCAGACATTGTTATAAATATTTTTATTTCAATTTTTTAACCAAATGTTCGAACCGTTTTAAATTTGAATTTCTTATTGCACATTGGTTCGATTATAGAACGATTGTAAACGTTCCAGAAAACTGATCAAATTGAAAATAGTAGGCATGATTCTTAGCAATTCTCATTATTCTCAGCGGTAGGTGTTATATAACAATTACTATGGTTGTTGAAATACTGAATATAAATGTGGTTTGCTTGCAAAACTTCTGCGGGCGAAGTCACTGGTAACAGTTAATTAATCTATATACATAAACGAGAATGAATGTTTGGATGTTTGTTCGCTAGGCACGCCTAAGCTGTTTGACCTTGACGGCCGGATGGCCGAGTGGTCAGGGTGGCAGCCTACCGCTCTGGGGGACCCGGAATCGAATCTGGATGGGTCAAGGAGTCCCCAGGAATTTTTCGGAGTGTGGTCTGTCCTGATATGTCGGGCTCTGTTTTTCACCACCCGGTCGCGTCATTGTGGGCCTGCTATAAGAGGCCGTCTTAGTGCCCATAGGGTGGAAAGAGTATTTTAAAAAAACAAAAAAAAAGGGCCGTCCAACCAATTGCTTCGAAACTCGACAGATACGTTTATCTACAGCAAATGTCGTACATCCCATCCCAAAATATATATATTACAGTTTTGTAAACAATTTTTATGTACAATTTAAAAATTTTCTAATTTAAACTGTAATTATATTGTCCGAAAAGTAAAAATATGAAAACAGCATCTATTGTTTATGTTTTGATTAAACAATTGTTTAAAATAGAATATCTCTATCAAAAATGCAAATGATTCAAAGCAGAAAACTCTGAAAGGAATAGATTTATCACCATTCATTTTATTATCGCTTTAAATTGGGAGTCCAACCTTTTTAACTGTTTCTCTGGACCACATTGTAAGAAGTCAAGGAGTTTTGGGCCACAAATGCAGTATACTGTATATAATATATACTTGTGGCCCAATATACAAGTATATTTAAGGATTAACGTGTCTAGATTATAATAATAAATATTAAAATTTTATTGTTTTTAAAAGAAATTACTTCTACAGACAATTTCAATTTATGAATTTATCTATTTTTACTTAAAAATAGATAAATTAATTTATTATAAAAGAGACAAACGAAAATTTATTTAAAAAACAAATATTTATTTGGGTCTATAATTAATAAAAAGCGAAGAAACACCAAAAGTGCATTTTTCTTCAACTAATATATTTATAAATAATACGTAGTCCAAAAGTAGCCAAAGCGCCGAATGATATTTTTTACGTCAAATTAAACAATAGCAGCCACATTTGGCTGAATGTAGCCAAATCTCGCAACGTTGGAAGAAATACTAAATAAAGCTGGAGTTGTGACTCAAAGGATTATAGAGCAAAATGCAGGGAAAGGAGAGAAAGGACACAAGATAAAAAGTAGTGAGAAAGGTTAAAAAATTAAGGCTCAATATTTGCGTAACAAAACATCTATTTAATCTTTCTCACTACTTTTTATCTTTTGTCTTTTCTCTCCTTTCCCCAAATTTGGGTCTATAATCCTTTGAGTCACAACTCCAGCTTTATTTAGTAATCCTTCCTCAAAACTTCCACACATCTCCAAGTATTTGAAAATATTTCCTTTCCACTCAAATATAAAATACAGGTAACCCCCGTATAACACGGCACTTCTATAGCACGGATTCACTCTGACACGGTTCGAAAATTGGATAAAACCCTCGAACAATATGAAATGTAATAAATTTTTACTTACTTAAGTAATAATAGTTCACGAAAATCATTATTTTCGTGAACTATTAGTATTTTAGTATGTAAACTTTCTTTTCTTGCCTTCTGTGGATACACATGATTCTTCTCGAAACTTGTTTCAATGTTGCCAGATCTCGACACTTCTGCTTATGCTGTTGCCAGATGTTTTTCCCTTATTTCATACTTGCTTTATTCTTCATACCCTCCTTTTCGTACTAGTTCATTGTTTTGCATAACACGGCAACTTTTTGGAACGTAACTACCGTGTTATACGGGGGTTACCTGTATGAATAAAAGTTTACGACTTTGTGAAACTTCTTTTTTTTTTAGTTTATTCCGTTGAAATAAATAAACAATAAAAAAAATTAAAACATTTGTCGGTTTTGTCTATTGGGCCATGTAAGTTTTGGGGGCAATACGTTAATTGCGCGTCAGGAAATCCTAGGGTCAAACCGTATGTGGGTGGTGGCGGTAGGAGACAGAGATGACAAGTGTCCTACACGAAAACTGTTTATTTTGACATAAGGCTAACTCACATAATGACAATAACAATGCGATCTAGATCGGCTTTGGTGGGAGCTCCTTGATGTCGACGAACGGGCGCTGACTGGAGTTCCAGGCTTGACAGGAGAGTGTCCGTTGCACAGGTGCCTCTGTCCGGTGATGTAGCGGATGTTGGTCACTGGTGGAGAACTGGTCCGAGTGGAGAACTGCGGAGAATCGGCTGGGAATTCCTCTTTGGAGAGAAGCGGCCGAGAATCTCCCTTGAGTGTGGGTGTCCGTGTGCTGAGGACCTGGCGTCTTGGAGAGAATCTGCTCTTTGTCCTTGAGATTCGGGGGTTTTATAAGATTTTCCCCGAATCTCACCCTTTTGATTGGTCCCGTTCACCCTCTCCCTTACCCCGATTGGTCATTCCCTTCTTTCTAGGCGAAACTTGAACCGATCCGGGTCGGGAAAAGGTCGGAGAGGTGATGACAGAGCTTTTAATGTTCGCGCTCGACCCGAAACTTGTTCGCGAGCATCTCAACAAAGCTCTTTCTCTCTGTCGACACTCCCCCTGTTGTTTATCATCGCGTCGCGTTTGTTTTACGATTCGAAAAAAGTTTTCGTTTCATCTGGGTTTTGTCACTAACACATCCCCTTGACCCGATTTTGTCTTCGAAACTTTCTGACGTTAAAGTTTGTAATTAGTTGAAATTTCTATGCGCTTTTACGACCCTCACAGCCACATTGGAACTTGTCTCGGGCCGCGGGTTGGACACCCCTGCTTTAAACGTTTTAAATTTTGTGTTTTGTAATTATAATTCAACAAATCATTACATAAATAAAAACAATTCTTTTAAATTTAAAATACGGAATAAGAAAAAGCAATCGATTGTGTCTTCCTTCTTGATCGATATTCATCATATTACATAAAGTTCGATACATCGTTTTCGACCATTTAGGCCAATACATTTCTATTTACAACAGAATTCTATTAAAATTTATCATTATAAATGCAATATTCCCGTCTTCAACGATCAATATTTTATATAATGAAATGTCTCTTGAATTAAAATTCACGACGCTGTGAAATAATTTAATTTTAAAATACAGTCTATTTTACATTGTTCATCACAGACCATTACATTATTAAATCATACAATTATTACGTGTCTTTATCGTCGAGTATTATACAGTCGACCCCCCTATAATTACGGTCCCTATAGTTACGATTCCTATAAAACTACGAAAAAATTGCTACCGGTATCCGTAAAAAATAGTAAAAGTTCCCTATAAACACCTCAAACGTCATCGGGAAGCCGAACTACTTTCCCGCCGTCCGTAGCGCCACGCTACGGAGAGATTTCTATCGTCTGGACAGTATTATATAAATTATATATAAATTAGGTACTGTACATATAATTATATATTAATTATATATAAATTAGGTACTGTATATATAATTATATATTAACTTATTGTAACTTTGTTATAATTAAATATATAATTTCCGCCGTCTAGCGTGGCGCCACGCTACGGAGATTTTTACGCTAACTATCGTCTGTCAGTATGTAAATTAGGTACCGTAAGTCTAATACAGTACTGTAATTTTATACATTTCTTGTGAAAGAAACATTTCTTATTCAACGGCGATTAAAATTATTTATATTAATGATGTCTCCGAAGTTCTACGAAGTTTTCACAGAAAAATAAGTTGTTAGAAATCGGCCGCTCTTTGCTGAGCTGTTCCGCGACGAAAACAATGTTGAGCAATGGCAATGTCGAATGGTGACACTCGGTAAGTAATCCTACAATTTTTTGTTTATAGCGTAGTTTATACGGATTATTCCCAAAAAATATATACGTATTTTGGAAATGTTGAGTCGGATTAGTCTAGAATCGATTAATTTTATGGAAGAAAATCTTTCAAACAGCCGTAGTCCGTAAACTTGACACGTGTCGGGTTGTGATTGGAAGGATTCGTAAGAAAGCGGATTCCTAGAGAATGGAACGTATCTCTATCTTATAGGGGGGTCGACTGTACATCTATAAATCTACGTCGATATATTAATGTGTAGTTTTATGAGTTTCTCGCTCAATTATTGAGTGCCGATCTTAAAATTAATTTATTACTCATGGCGGTGCCAAATTTCCTAATTTACTACAATGCGTGATTCTTCGTTAAATGACTGGTGATGAGAAGAATAAAACTCGATATTGGACGTATAAAGTAAATCACTTGTGAATTCTAATAAATTTTAGTGATTGCGACGTGGCAATTTAACAAATAATTGTCATTTAGAGTCTTTTTCAAAATAAAAATCTTCCTTTCAGTTATAAAGTTTTATGTTTCGAAGCTTTCTTTATATTTAAAAGACCAGAAAACATGGAATGTAGAGAACTTCCCATCTGAAATGTTTAAATGAGGAATTCAATTAAGGCATCAATATTGAAATTACAAAAACAATACTTTATTTTCTTAGAAATATTACCTTTATTGGAAACTTTTTTGTAATCTTAAAGTAATTTCTGAAAGACAGACACAGGGATTCTTTACCGAATCTTTTCATAAAATTCAAAATCTGAAAAGTTATTAATTTCTATTATTATACAGTAAGGTCTCGTTTTATGCGGATTATTTTTATGCGATTTTGAAGTTGTGCGGTTTGTATTTCATCCAAAATTTTTTTGGACAAACATACATATAGGCTTGTTTAGGAAGCTCGCGTATAGACAGTCTCCAAAAATCGTGGAACGCTCAAAGCTCACTCCATTTGTTCCACCGACATATAACGTTTATGGATGTAAAGGACAGCTAGATCTACCTTAATCGCTTTAGTTCCTAGCAATTTTTCATATAAATGTAATTAAACATAAAAAATACTTAAAACTGAAAAAAAACGAAAGAAATGTGTTAATTTTGAAGAAAAAGCTTCAAAGTTTAACTTCCTTTGTCTCGCCCTTCTGTGAAATTTAACACTGATGAGTCAGTTTATACATCTGGATGACCTTGAACACAGCTGGAGTTGGATTTCCCGGGGCATTCTCATAAACGTCGCGAGAGGACAAGGGTTTAAAGTAGGGTGAAGCTGGCGGTATATTTTTTAATATTTTTAAAAAATTTAGAGACTTAAAAAACATTCCAAAAATTAAAAAAAAAATGTAAAACTATATTACTTTTCAATAAAATAAACTGAATTAAGTTTGAATACAAGTTTATTTTAAGCTTTTATATGAATTTCTTTCAGACATTCGAAGTAATTTATTAAGCAGCCTACTTCTTTTAATTTCTGCAAACTTTTTTATGCGGTTTTAAGTTAATTTTAACTCGTTGTTTTGGTTTTATGCGATTTTAGAAAATTACGGAACGTATCCCTACTTTTTCTAGGCAAGTAAAGTCTTTTTTTATGCGAATTTTTTTAATGCAATTTTCTGTAGAACGTATCCACCGTATAAAACGAGACCTTACTGTATTATAATTACACGTAAACGTAATAAACTATTTATTACATAAAACTACGGTTTAAATATAGCAAACCTTTAATTTCTGTTCCGATTCCAGATCGCACTCAGCAAATCTTCAGATGTCTTGAAATGACGTTTGCATCTGAAAAAAAAATACAACGTGTTTTAAAAAATCTTCTAGAGCATTAAATAACAAAATTTTCAATAAAAATGCATTACAGCAGATGTGAAGGAGGATAACGAGAATCCGATTAAAATACAGGAAAAACTAGCAATAGCACACAGTAATGAAAAACAAACATTCAACGCGAACTTCAATTCAGAAAAGTTGAAAATGAAGTACAATAGACTCGTTTCCATTAACAAAGTACCGTATATTATTGCGAATACGTAGCTGAACGGTCCGTTGAGTTGATTGGTAAAATTCCAAAGTTTGTCGTGTTGTTTTATAATTTTATTCAGTTGAGATTTCAAGTTTCGAACGTTCTTTCTCGTCAGATACAAATTCTCTGATAGTTTTTCGAATGCCTTCATTACAATAAAGTGAAACAGAACGAGGAACGTAAAGACGTATACTACAGCACCAACGAGTAAATTGCCACATATACCAAGTTCGATGCAGCAGATAAATGGCTCGTATTTAAAGGACTTTTCTTTTTCTAAAGCAGGATAAAATAAAAAAACGATTATACATTGAAAGAATATCGTTAAAGTAACAGTTATAGTTACTGCGAGAAGTTGTAGATTATTGATAAAAGCATATAACCGATGTTTAGGAAAACCATATGACTTTTTTAATTGTATTTTCGGATTCAGTTTGACTCTTCTGACAATACTGAATATTGCAGCCATGGCCAAGTTAATAGTCGCACAGGCTACTCTGACGAATATGTCATAGTCGAATACCGAGAAAAAGGAAAAGCAAGGAGTTACGTTTGATACGTAAGGAATTGTCATACATAGAAAAAGAAAGGAATGCATCCAATAAAGACATTCAATAAACGAGATGTAAAAGTTGAAAGGTACGCGGAAGCGACTGTCAGTGTATAAGTTACGGGAGCAAGGAGTAAAAAATTCCAAGCCGTAGACTATTGAAACTGAATTAAATGAAGAGAGAAAACACTGCAGACATATTTCCTCTTTCTGATCATTAACCGCGGGACTTTTGCTCGAGATGATTCTTATCATAATTTTTTAAGTTAATGAATTAAGTGATGGTAAAATAAAATATATAATTGAATTGTAAACAATCACTCGCAGTTGTTCTTATCTTAGGGAAAAGTAAATCCAATACTTCTGTGTAGAAAGCAAAGTGCTAGCTTTGAATTTAAAATTTTACTGCGTAGTCACTTATATAAGTGATATTAATATAACATTTATATATATATGGATTAGTTATATAAATGAGATTTTTATTTTACTTGAAGTGAAATGGAAATTTCATGCGATATTTCTAGAAACTCTTTGGAATTTTAATTTTTTAAGCTCAATGGGTCGAAATGAATTCATTACAATTAATTTATATTTAAAGTCATCCACGAATGCCTGTCGCGTTCATAAGATACCGTTATGTTTTAGCGTGTTATCTCACTACCAGAGTGCAGCGCAGATTTAATTGCAGTAACGAGTAGAATTTTATTGTTTGTTTACTGGTAAATGAAATAGTACAAAGTACCATTTTGTACTTGTATTTAACCTTAATTTTAAAATAAGTTAATTGATCGTGTGTCTTATTAAAATTATATATTGTTTATGTGAAGACCCAACCGAGGTCCGAATCATGTAAATCGCGATATTCCTATGATTAAATAATAACGATAGATTAATTATGAGAGGGAGAGGAAAATCCCATAATTTAAACAACGCGGCACAAAATGTAGACAACGAGTCTCGGATGACTCGAACACGTGTTAAATTAACTGTCAATGTCAGAATGAAAAGTTATAATTCAGAGACAAGTGGTCATATGCAGGTAGAACTTTGACCCCCGCTCTCATAAACAGTCAATCTAGGGAAACAATTTCTGAAAAGAGGGAAAGATTTAAGAGAGATAAATCATTGCATATGATCGAGTACGCAGATGACAGAAATCGTGAGTAACGGAGTTAAATTATGAGCGCGAGTCTTGCAATTTTGTCAACAATCCCCGAGAACAATCGACAGAAAGGCGTCGAGCGGACACCTGGAATCGGACCTTTCTCGTGACCCGAGTCGGTCTCGATTTTCCCCAAAACAAAAGAGAGACCAATCGGGAAGCGAGGAAGGGGACGAGGGGCCAATCAGAAGTCCGAATAGTGGGAGGAAAAACTATAAAAATCGGAAAATCAAGGTCAAGAGGGCTCTCCTCCGACTCCACGAAAGCTAGTGACTTCTATTGTGGTGTGTCGTCGCAAAGAACTGTGAACTCCACGGCTTTCACCTCAAGATCGTCCGCCTGGATCCGTGACCTCATCTCGTCCGCCCCGGGGCTACGACCGACGCCGAAGTTATCACCTCTCCTCAACGTCGAGAGAAGAAACTAAGGAAGGACTGCCGATTGTCGATGTAAGCATAAATGATAACCAATAAACGGCTTTCTTGTGTAAAACACTTGTCATCTTTTACCTCCTCCGTCACAGCCCACATACAACCTTCCCTTAGGTCCATCCTGACGCGGGATTAATAGATCCCACCTAAGAGACGGTATTCTTACACAGGTGCCGTGAAGTGGGTTTCAAGCCCCTTATCTCCCCCGGATCGGCCATCTTACATTTATATAGATGAGAGGAATCAAAAACAGCGTGTTAGCACAGTTTCTATACAGCGTATTAGTTTCTGTTCTATTAGATTAGAAATACTTAGGTCAATGTGGACCCTGTGGATAATACGATAGAGATCATTTTTGAATTATGTAACATTATACGAATAAATATTCTTTGTATATTTATCAATGATTTTATTTTAGATGTCAACATTATTAGAAAAAGTATTGTTGATGTATTTCTGCATGGAGATGTCTCAAAGACTAGAATTTACAGGAGTTTTCAGATCTGGAAGATTATGAAAACAATGTTTTGACAAGCGGACAAAACATAATTGAATACTCGGCTGCAGCGAATCAAAAACCTGATAAGGCATTAGATCATAACAGTTCGTGGCAGGGGTCAATCTTTTAGACACGCTGGTTGCGTTGTATAGAATAAGTTTGAGGGTAAAAAGGTACTATATATGTGTGAGCCGCCGAAAGGTTGAAAATTCCTCTACTTTCCGGCAGCAGGTCAGTGACCTACTTTTTTCTCAAGGATGACGTTACGTTCTGTTACGCGTTACACGTTACGCGAGTGGAGGAGAGTCAGAGGGGTCGACGATAAGACGATGGCACGGTGGAATAAAGACACCACGTTTAACAAAACAAACTGTTTATTAAAGCCAACTAAGAAAATAAAGGTTTACAACACTATACTTCTAATTCGCCGAGGAGAGAGAGAGTTTATAATAAAGTTTTCATACCTCTTGAGAAAATATCAGTGTGATAATTCTTCGGTAAATTCGGTAAATTGGCACAGGTCCTACGGGTTTCGGAATAGGTCTCGCGATACAGCAGTATTCGACTTCTTTTGACAAACTTCGAGCGACTCCCCGATCAGAGACTCTGTCGATGGAGGAGGAGAATAGTCTTTTTTTATACTTTCGTGGTGGGAAAATTCGTCATGTGATCAATTGTTTTAGCGAGTGTGGAGGTTAAAGTTGGTGTTAGAATGACAACAATATGACGATTTTCGCCTGTAATTGTAAACTATACACGGTTTCGTCGTGAGAATGTTTATGTTTGGACAGTAACAGTTATAAAATTCTCACGGACTCTATAGTTCGTTTCTGTAGATAAAGGATTAAATTCTTTTATGAAATTAAATAAACTTCGAGTTCCACATATAAATAATTATCCACCTCACTGATATATGCTTAGTCAATGCATGGCTTATATATAAGCGGCATTGTCACGTAATTTTGTTGTATTACACATAATAAATCAGTGTAATACATAATTGCATTTGCCGACATCATTATTTCCATTGGGTCCATATGGATCCACAAAAATATCAATCAATAATAAAAAAATATTTGTATTTTTAAACCGTATTGCACTATATTTTGAGAGTATTAAACCCAAGATCATGTTATTAATCAAACACATGGCTTCTTTTTTATCTGGAATAAAGATGGAAAAAAGCCACGTGTTTGATTAATAACACGATCTTGAGTTTAATACTCCAAATGAAAAAATAATTACAAAATTTATACTGTATTTTAGTGTTAATAAAAGTACGTAAAATTCAAAACTAATGATTATAATTTTTAAATTAAAGACCGTTAATTCGGGCTGAAAAGGGTTAAAATTTTACTGCGTAGTCACTTACGTAATTGTTATATTAATATCACTGTATTGATTAGTTATAAAAATGAGGTTTTATTTTACTTGAAGTGATATGGAATTTTGATTGCAATTTCCAGAAACCATTTGGAATTTTAATGTTTGAACAAACACTACAGTTAATATTTATAGAAACTTTCTTATTAAGTTAAGTGCCTTCTCCAAGTTATCGAATGTGTCTTTCTGTACTTTCTAGGCAGATAGGCACTTAACACGATGTTTATTTTAAACGTAAAAGTAAAGTGACGGCGAGCGGGGGGTGGAGGTTTCCAGCCAGACACGTGTGTGACCAAGATACTGTACCTGTCATTCGAACCTGTTTTTTTACTTATTTCTTCGCCTGTGGATTATAAAACCTCTGTGATGATTGATGAATCTTCGTCCATTGTACGCGAGTGCCCATTGATAAATAATGATAATTGTATCTTATAGAAAAAAATCCAGCAACGAGTTATTTAGCTATTCCGGCAACATTTGCTAGTGCCATCTATTGAAATATTTGAAGTCAAAATTTGAAGAATTTTGGTTTTAAATTTGTTACTTTATTTATAATATGTATGAATTATGATATAATAAGAGAAGTAAATTCTTTTGTTGATTCTAAATTTTATGAAGAGATTTGGTAAAAAAAAATCCCCGTGTTTAACGTGTGGAAATTTTTTCAAAATTACTAAAAAATTTCCAGTAAAAGTAAGTTATTCAAGTTAATTTTGAAATATAATTAATGTTGTAAGTTCAGTTCTGTTCTTGGGATTTCATTCGTTTTTTTACTATTTCAGATGGGAAGTTCTCTAAATTCCGTATTTTCTGGACTCTTGAACATAAAAGACATAAAAATCAATGAATATAAGAAAGATTTCATTTCGAACACATACGTAAGAAATTAGAGTTCTCACTTACTCAACAATTATATAAATTTATACTGCATATAGAAAAGTGATATTTGAGAGCTTGCATTTAGTGTGCGTATCAAAGTATCGCAATTGAAATAGCTGACGACACGTAAACATCATTACTAGTGACTATTAATTGTTTTATGTAATCGAAACCAATTGACAGGATTTCTCGCACTTGTGACGCTTCTTGAAGAAGAAGAGTATTAAGACATTTTCAAGGGTAAGTTCTGTTATAAATCTAAGATGGAAGATACATTTCAAGCTTTTTGGTTTTGCATCTATGCCAGGAATTTCGACGACACTCGCTAAAACTTCTCAAACTTTTCATTTAATTTATTAATTATATTTATGAGATGCACTCATTTCTGGTTATTTGTACGAAGACTTTTTGCACATCAAATATAATTCTTTGTTGCGAATACAGCGGAACTGGTTAATTCTAATCGGTCGAAAAAAGAAAGAAATTCGAACTTCCAGTTATAAGGTTTGGTATTATAGAATTTCGACGAAAAATCAAACTTTTGTGCATTGGTTTATAGATGATTCTTAACAAACTATCCGTACGATATTACGTATAATTACAGTGTCAATGTAAACTATTCGATGATGCCCAGAAACTCGAAAACGCTTAACCCAGTGTTTGTGCTGTTGACAGGTACTATCGACCGACATGTAAATCTAAAATATTGAAATCTGTACTACGTTTTGGGCAAAGTTGTTAATTAAAATCAGTATTTTGCAAGGTGTTTCATTCCGTACGTGAGGAATTGTCATAGCAAAATTGAAAATGAAATGTATCCAATAAACATCTTCAATGAAAAAAATGTAAATTTTTTCAAATGTTTACTAAGGTAAGAGTCACTGTTGATGGCGCGAGAACGAAAATTGAAAAATTTCCATCCCTAAACCATTGACAGTGATGTAGAATAAAACAGAGAACACTATTAAAAATTTTCCATTAGAACTACCAACGGTGGCCAAACAGTCGAAATTGCGGTTGACATATTTTTAAATCACTAGAATAATAGAAATTACATAGATATAATGAAGAATATCTTCCTCTTCTGAACATGTTATGAAGTAAAACTGTTCGTTACGGCAAAAGTCTGATATGTAATAACTGAAGGTAACTCGCCTTTTAAGTTACACCCTTTTCGTTAATCTATATATGTAAATGAGAATGTTTGGATGTTTGTTCGCTATTCACGCCTAGGCCGTTCGACCAATTGCTAAAAAACTCGGCAGTTTATATACCAGTAATGTCATATATCTCACTTTAAAATATGTATTATATTTTTGGAAAGCAATCAATTATTATGTACAATTTAAAATTTTCTTTTTTTTAAACTGTAATTATATTGTCTGAAAAGTAAAAATATGAAAACAACATCTATTGTTTCTTATTCTATTTTAAACAATTGTTTAATCAAAACATATCTCTATCAAAAATGCAAATGATTCGAAGCAGAAAACTCTGAAAGGAACACATTTAAACACAATTCATTTTATTATCGCTTATAAACGTTTAAATTTTGTGTTTCGTAATTATAAATTAACAAATTATTACATAATTGAAAATAATTCCTTTAAATTTAAAATACGTAATAACACGAAGCAATCGATTGTGTCTTCCTTTATGAACGATATTCATTATATTACATACAGTTCGATACATCGATTTCGACTATTTTGGCCAATAATATATTTCAATTTACAACAAAAATTCTGTTGACATTTATCGTTATAAATACGGTATTCCAAACTTTTACGATCAATATTTTATATAATCAAATGTATCTTGACGAATTAACATTCACAACAGTGTATGAAATAATTTAATTTTAAAATACACCTCTATTTCACATTGTTCATTATAGATCATTACATTGTTAAATCATACAATCATTTCACGTCTTTATCGTCGAGTATTACACATCTATAAATCTACGTGCATATATTAATGTGTAGTTTTATAAGTTTCTCGCTGAATTTTCGGATGACAATATTAAAATTAATTTATTACTTATCGCGGCGAAAAATTTCCTAATTTACTACATTGCGCGAACCTTCTTTAAACGACGGGTGATGAGAAGAATGAAACTCGATATCGGACGTATAAAGCCAATCATTTGTAAATTTTAATAAATTTTAATAATTGCGACGTAGCAATTTAACACACAAAGGTCATTTAGAGTCGTCTTTCAAAATAAAAGTCTTCTTTTGAGTTATTAAGCTTTATGTTTCGAAGCATTCTTTATATTTAAAAGACCAGAAAATATCGAATGTAGAGAACTTCCCATCTGAAATGTTTAAATGAAAACTTTAATTTTAATTATTAAAACCACATAACTAAATTTCCTTGGAAAAATTACCTTTATTGGAAACTTCTTTGTAATTTTAAAGTAATTTCTGCAAGACAGGCACAGGGATTCTTTACCGAATCTTTTCATAAAATTCAAAATCTAAAAAGTTATTAACTTTTATTATTGTATTATAATTTCACGAAAACGTAATAAACGATTTAGTACATAAAAATATGTTTTAAATAGCCTATATCAAACCTTTAATTTCTGTTTCAATTCGAGATGGCAGTCAGCAAATCTTCTGATGTCCTGAAATGATGTTTGCATCTGAAAAAATAAAATAAAACGCATTTTAAAAAATCTGCAAATGTAGTAAATCTTGGAATTATCGATAAAAATACATTACAGCAGATGTGAAGGCGGATAAGAGGAATCCGATTAAAATACAGAAAAAAGTAAGAGTAGCACACATCAATGAAAAAAAAATTTTCAATGCAAATTTCAGTTCAGAAAAGTTGAAAATGAAGTACAATAGACTCGTTTCCATTAACAAAGTACCGTACGTTATTGCGAATACGTAATTAAACGGTCCGTTGAGTTGATTGGTAAAATTCCAAAGTTCGTCGTGTTGCTCTATAATTTCATTAAGTTGGGATTTCAAATTTGGAACGTTCTTTCTCAGAAGATACAAATTCTCTGATAGTTTTTTGAATGCCTTCATTACAATAAAGTGAAACAGAACGAGAAACATAAAGATGTATACTACAGCACCAACGATTAAAGTGCTGCAGATACCGGTTTCAATAGAGCAGATAAATGGTTCGTATTTAAAAGACTTTCCTTTTTCTAAAGCAGGATAAAATAAAAAAACGATTATACATTGAAAGAATATCGTAAAAGTAACAGTTATAATTACTGCGAAAAGTTGTAGAGCATTGATAATAGAATATAACTGACGGTTAGGAAAAATATACGACGATTTTAATTGTATTTTCGGATTTAGTTTGACTCTTTTGACAATACTGAATACTACAGCCACGGCCAAAGTAATACTTGTAGTAGTTACTCTTACAAATATGTCATACTCGTATACCGAGAACAAGGAAAAGCAAGGAGTTACATCCGATACGTAAGGAATTGTCATACATAAAAGAAGAAAGGAATGCATCCAATAAAGGCATTCAATAAACGAGATGTAAAAGTTGAAAGGTGTGCGGCAGCGACCGTCAGTGTTTAAGTTACAGTAGCAAGGAGTAAAGAATTCCCAGCCGTAGACCCTCGAAATTGAAGTAATTGAAGAAAGAAAACACTGCAGACATAATTTCGTCTTTCTGATCATCAACCGCGGGTCTTTCGCTCGAGATGATTCTTATCATAATTTTTTAAGTAACTGAATTAAGAGATGGTAAAACAAAATATATAATTTAATTTAAAACAATCACTTTTCCTGTTCGCAGTTGTTCTGTTCTTACGTAAAAGTAAATTCAACGCTTCTGTGTAGTAAGCAGACTGAATGCCCGCTTTGAATTTAAAATTTTACTGCGTAGTCACTTATATAAATGTTATAGCAATTACTATCACTTTTATAAGTAATCGATAGATAAACTAAAATAAAAATCTTATTTATATAAGTAAAATGGAATTTTGATGCGATGTTTCCGGAAACTCTTTGGAATTTTAATTTTTGAACAAACATGACACGTAATGTTTATAAAAGTTTTCTTATTAAGTTATTCGATAAATTGAAGAATGCACTTATGTCTTTCTGTACTTTGTACGCAGATAGACACTTAACGTGATGTTTATTTTCAACGTTAAAGGAAAGTGGCCGCGAGCGAAGGGGGGAGGGTTCCAGCCAGACACGTGTGTGACCGAGATATTCTACCTGTCATTCGAACCTGTTTTTTTTATTTATTTCTTCGCCTGTGTATTATAAAACCTCTTCGATGAATCTTCTTCTGTTGTACACGAGTGCCCATTGATAAATAATGTTAATTGTATTTTATAGAAAAAAATCCAGCAACGAGTTACTTATATATTTCGGCAACATTTGGTGGTACCATCTATTGAAATATTTGTAGTCAAAATTTGACGGTATTTGGTTTTAAATTTGTTACTTTATTTATAATAGCAGACTCCGCCACGCGTTGTTGTGGCTGAAAATATATATATTATATTGTATTGTATACTGGCACAATGAAGTGACTTCTTTTCAATGAAGGGAAAAGTCACTTTATTGTGCCAGTATACAATACATAAATACAACACGGTTTCGACAACAACAATATATATTATAAATGCATAACACTTTCCCCATGGGGGAATTTTTTGGAAAAATCTCTTCTTAGTGTACATTCTCTTTACGTATCCCATTAAAACGCAATCAAAAACCCGAAAATAGTTTGAATAGAAGCAGAGTTTTTTACATTTAAGCCTTAATCCTAACCATCTTCCTTCAGTGGGGGAATTTCGACCAGTGGCGTGCCGTCATTAAAAGCGGTGGAAGCGCCGTTTCCCTTGTATTTTATAAAAAATAAATGCATATTAATTTTAATTATACGAAAATAATCGCACAATATTTTATTATAACCGCATTATGTATCTTATTACAAATTTCTTTACTACCCGTGAAAAAAATTTGCTTATATATATTCGAGTATTAGTGGCAGAGTAGAATCTCTGAAATTATCAGATTCCAGAAAGCCAGAGTTGCGCATGCGCTTTACAGTGCACGAACCTCACCCGATTTAGCCGGTGGAAGCCTACGACCTTGGATGGAAGCTGCACACATATAAATTTTCCAATTCTATCAAGGGCCGGTTCTGGGCTGTTAGCCGCCTGCCCACTAGATATTTCGATTACGTGAATAACGAGTAGATTTATAACTTAACCCAACCGATAAGAATTTACTAGTATGTTTTTACGATAATTCCGTATAGTTGACAGGAGTTAAAAAATTTATTAAAATATTTGATATATTTATTCCGCTTTCCGATTTTATATTACTCACGGATTTCGATGTTAAACCGGTGATATTACGATTTCGTACGTCCCATCTTTAAGATGATGTAGAAAAAAACGTGTACAATTCTTGTATAATGTTAACAAATTAACCGTTACATTGATAGCATCATTTACAACTAAATTTAATGAATGAGAGAGATGCACCGGGTACAGAAAAAGTTCTAGAATTTATTTTCCTTAAATTTACGATTTATGTATCCGTGTTCATAAAAATTTGACTTCCCCCTTTTTTTCCGAGACTACAAATATTCGAGTACGAAGTAACTGGTTTCGACTTATTTCTACTTAAGAAGTAGTTAAATAATTAAGCGATTAGGAAATTGGGACCGTAAACAATACCCCGACGAAAGAGCCGGAATATTACTTAAACAAAAGTTTAACCGTACCAATCTATAGCCGAGTACAGTGGGGACCGATTTCTTCGAAATACTGTATTAGATGTAATAAAGACAGAAATTTTTCCAGTTCTACGAGAGTGAGAGAAAAGTTGTAAATTTTGGAAATTTCCGTGGACGACACCCGGTCTTAAAACGAATTAGTTAGAAAACAAAAGACGGACAATCTATTAAGTTTAACGTATTTAGATTTTTACAGCTATGGTGAGAAACGTTTAAAATTTACAACAACCCTGTGACGTCCTTTGAGATATACTAGTGATGCGACAAAAGAGGCGTTTGACATTGACCGGTATCGGCACCCTCGGGATTTGGCAGTCTTCGTGCCGTACAATCTACTCTGATTCCATCCACGGGTTACTGGTAGGTAGCACTTTTAACTAAGCGAATTGTTTTAATATTTAAAAGGTAAAGAATATTTTATGTTATTTTTATGTACATTTCTTAATAAAACTATATTTAATTATAATTTGCTTTAAAAGTACAGTAGAGCGTCGTTTATCCGAAACGTCGGTTATCCGAAAAAATTCCAGTCGACAAATTGAAATTTTCGCCAGTGCTGTGGCGCTGTAATCTTTGGCTGTCTTTGGCTATTCAAATATTTTACGTTTTTGATACTAAATTAACTTGTGAGGTATAATTTTTTATTGTTTTTATATTTTTCAATATATTTATTTTGTTTGTACAAAATAAAAAAANTCCGAAACGTCGGTTATCCGAAAAAATTCCAGTCGACAAATTGAAATTTTCGCCAGTGCTGTGGCGCTGTAATCTTTGGCTGTCTTTGGCTATTCAAATATTTTACGTTTTTGATACTAAATTAACTTGTGAGGAAGAATATTTTATGTTATTTTTATGTACGTTTCTTTACAAAGCTATATTTAAATTATAATTTTCTTTAAAAGTACAGTAGAGCGTCGTTTATCCGAAACGTCGGTTATCAGAAGGAATTCCAGTCGACAAATTTAAATTTTCGCCAATGCTATGGCGCTGTAATCTTTGGGTTACTCAAATATTTTACGTTTTTGATACTAAATTAACTTTTGAAGTATACTTTTTTTATTGTTTTTATATTTTTCAATATACAGTAATACCCCAACTTACGCTACCCCGACTTACGCGAACCCGGAGTTACGCGATTTTGAAATCTCGTCGATTCTTCTTTTGTTTGAGCGCCACGCAATCCTTGATTACTCACTACCCCCACACTATTGTTCAGCTTACATGTTCCGATGTGTCGCGCGGAATCCACACACAGCTACAATATATTTTGCGTTATTTATTTCTGTGCTTGCTATATCTACGGAGACTCGAGAGACTCTACTATGTCATCCAAACGAAGTAGAACTAATTCTTCTGCATCAAACAAGAAAAGAAAAACTTTATCTTTNAACACGGGATAAATTAATATATTTTTTCGTACATAATTGGTTATCCAAAAAATAAGTTATCCGAACAACACCAGTCCCCAATTGATTCGGATAAACGACGCTCTACTGTATATTCGTACAATTGAATATTTTGTACCAAGTATGTGTAACTGTATATCCATCACTAGACAGCGGACATATAGGCCCTTAAAATAAGCTCTTAAATTGCGTCGTTTAGGCTTTATAAACAAAAAATAGGGGGTCAAAATTTGCGCAATGAACAATTAACGTACTTATCGGGACGATGAATTTTTTTATTTAACATATGTATTCCAAACAAAAATGCATGTATTCAGAATGATACAAACACAGAAGTAGACAAACAATTACCTTTACATTTTTTATTCGTTCTGTTTCCCATAGTTAGTTTCGTAATATATTACAAGCACTTTTTCCAAATTTTCAATAGAAAAGTTGTAACGTTTGTCACTGAGAATTTATTTATATGCAGAGAAAGAGCATATAATCAGTAGATGTTAGGGTTTCTCATTTCCCGGGAAATTTGCCTTCAGCGGGATTACGGGAAAAATAATTTCTTTTCCCGGGATCCCGGGAAATTCCGGGATGAGATAGTAAAATAGAATTTTATATGAATAAAAAAGATCATACAGCAATATCATAAATTTGAATAATTTAATATATTTTCTAGTAAGTAACTAAAAGTGTAGGGCCAATCTCACCCATACGGACACGTTAGGCTCAATTAATTTATGTTCTCCTACATTATAAGATGAAAGTAAAATAAAGCGTTTCATTGGGAGTTTTAATGATTACGAAAAAAAATACTATTTTATTTCTAAAAATGAGGTAAAAAATAAACTAAAGTGCGATGAGTGATATTTACTTTCAGCAAGTCTCCGCTGTTCAATGATGCGCAAACACAATACATAGATATTACATGAACTAACAAGTAGAGACTTGTAAAACATAGGTAATAATATGCAGCAAGAAACCTGAAAATTTCTCTCTTAGGTGAGTCTTCAAGATGTAACTTCTCGTATAATAAATAAAAGAAAGAAAACCTGACATGGTAAATTATTATTGAAATGCGAGATTTCCCGGGAAAATAAAATTTCCCGGGATTTTTCTCGTAGGGAATAAACGGCG